TCTCTTATAATACTCCTAAGTATTCTAACCATTTCTGGTAAGTTCAACTGTGCTTGCAGAACGACGTATCGTAGGCTCTCGTAACGTATCTTGAAAATGTGAGAAAGTGCGAGCGCCGCTTACCGCGGTCACCAGGTAACCACCCGTCCCACCCGGAAGGTGTTTGTAAACACGGTTACAGGAGCCCAGTTGACGTAGGCTAGCGCTGCGTTAGCTGTCAGCCGGGTTCAGTCATTGTGCAGGGATGGAGGTGAGCACGCCGAAGTAGAGTGCCAGCCAGATTTGCTTACGGGATTTTTTAGCTCGCCCACATTCACCACCGTGAACAACACACAGATCAATTGAGAATGTGACTGAATGTTCTATTTACAGAAGGCAGCACGGACTCCTTCAATTGTCCTCAGTGTGTTTGTGGCTGCTTAGCTGTTACGCTCGCTAGGCAGCTGCGGACTGCGGGGTTTTTGCTTTTGTTTTTTTTTAAAGCTTTGTGTTCCAGTCTTTCTTGTTCAACACACCTCTCTCCTCCATGTTACTGTGCTATCGTTCCTTTATCTCCTCCCCCACCAGATTGTATAGAAGAACAGTCTTAAACACGGTGTACACGTGCGATAGAGGAGCTGACTTTCCTTGCCATCGATGAGAATTTTCAGCGTAACCAGATTTTTTTTTTTTTTTAGGCAGAAATGTAAGGTGTAAAAACTTGTTAAGCCGCCAAATGGGGTGGGGGGGAGGCGCCCCCATGTAAACTGGGTTTTTCTCTTATTTTTGTTTAGGATAGGCAGCGAGTCTAGATGTCAGCCGTGCACCACGCAACGGGCGGAACACCGGAGGAGCGATACACGAGAGCTGAAAAAGGTTTGCAGAAGCAACTGTTGGGCGTGCGCCTCTCCTTCTGCTCCTCCATGCGCGGCCCTGCGCTGGTCGCACTGTGTACCAGAGTCCCTTACTTGCTCGCGCGCGCGCTCCACCAGCACCCATCGGCGTCTCGCCTCGGTCCAGAGGTCGGCAGTGTGCAGCATGTCGAGCTACGAGCACGCAGCCTCAACATGGAGTGCCGCTTAATACAGTTCAGTCAATTTGAGCGGAGTACCGTGCTCATCCTTAGACGGCACTCCCAAAAAGACCCGTCACCTGCTTGTTGTACTGTGCCTTATTCATAATGCATCCATAAAAAGAACAATAGACATTGTGAGGTTAAGACAGGTACGTTGATGTTCTTTCAAGGTAGCAGCAATACAAACCCGCATGTCTGGCATCATTTCCCATAATGTGCTCCGAGTATCCGCTGAGTATCCTTCTGCCTGTCGCTACGGCGTGACTGGACACAGCTCTCGCTGTCCACATCTCCTCTGATTTTTCTTATCGTGAGAACGCTAGAAAAATTATTAAACTATAAAGTCATTTTTAGGAGGACGCCTAAGTGAAAGTCACCAGTTAACACGGTCACCAGTTAAAGCGAAACACCGGGGCCGCTGCCTCAACACGAGCTATCTGCGGGGATATTTATATTTTATTTTTTATTTATTTTAGTTATATACAGTATTTAGAGGTTTGTAAATGAGAATTACATTTCTAATAAAATTATTATTATTAAATATATCAGGTTATTTATTTATTTATTTATTATTATATCACTGATTATATCACTGATTATAGTGTGAGGTGTGTTTTCTTCTTGATATTTTGGTTAAAATTTAATTTGCTACTGCCTCCATAGCACATATGTTCTGGAACTGCCCAAGACTCTGGGTCAATATCTTCAAAACTCTGTCTGAAGTTCCTAAAATTCGACTCAAACCAGACCCAGTTTTGGCTTTGTTTGGGGTGAAAGCAACTACAACAGTTTTGTCAAATAACCAATATAATATGATTCGTTATGTGACACTGTTGGCACGAAGGTTGATATTACTGAATTGGAAACAGAAAAACCCACCGGCCCATCCAACATTACTGAAAGAAGTGATGAATCTTTTACAATTGGAAAAGGTTAAATTCTCACTCAGAGGGAATGTAAACAAATTTCAGGCGATATGGCAACCCTTTATAGACCATTTTGAGAAGACAAAACTGTGACTGATAGTCACATAACTAGTGGCATCCCTTTTTCCTTTTCCTTTTCCTTTTCCTCTCCTTTTTTCATGCGGCATCCTGTACTTTTTTTTTTGTTTGTTGGGGGGGAGGGGGTAGGGGGAAGTACTCTTTGTATTGCTTAAAAAAAGAAAAAGCACAACATTATAAGGTATGTTACTGTGTTAAAAAATGCAATAAACAGAATAAAATAATAATAATAATAATAATTTGCTACTAAACCTACCAGTTTAACTAAGGACTATTTAATTTTAGGACTATAATAATAATAATAATAATAATAACAAACTTTATTTATACTGCACCTTTCATGGGTTTACAAAGTGGTTTTGCAGGGTAAACTACAACACAAACAACAGAAAACTAGGAACCATAGCAGCCATCAGTAACAATACATAGAATAAAAGAATAAACACTGTAAAACATAGTACAAAATAAAAAGATAAAACAATGGTGAGTAAAGGTTAGTAAAAAGGGTCACAGGAAGGAAAGACTATAAAAGTGTGTTTTAAGAAGAGACGTAAAAGAAGTGATTGAACTATAACTATAAATCAGAACTGTTTTTAAACTCTAGTAATTGTTTATTATTTATGGATTTTTTTTATTGTAGTTTGTTTCTTATCTGCTGTCTGTCTTACTGTATTAGGACTATGCCATGCTTTAAAAGACTACAGAAGCAAAACAACATCATTAACTTAACTTTTGGTCACAATAGTATAAAAAGGCTTAACTTAAATCCTGCCTCCACTCAAAAATGTGTTTTTGTTTATGTTCCTGCAGTTGGATGTTATCTTCACTGTGCAGAATGATGTCTGTGCAGAGTTTGACCCTAGAAGGATGTTTTCACATTCATCTGCTGAAAGTAGAAAGTTTCTTTGTGCTCTTTAAAAATATAATTTTTAAACAAATAGTTGGGCAGTATGCAATTTACACATGTGTGTTGCAGAAACCTGAAGCCACCAGTGCATAAATACTGAGAATGGACTTTACACTTGAAATGAACAACATTTGCATATTTATATATTGTGGACTTTTTAATGAGGTAGAAGGAGTAGATGCCTTTTTAAGGATTTTGATGTTGAAATTATACTTTTTTTTTTTGCAGAAAAACGTATCAAAAACACATTATTGTTCAAAGCAGACTATTTGTATTTGTCTTAATACATGTCTTGAGGCAATCCCACATTCATACGTATGCTTTGTGCCCAAAATAACCCATAATCATTAATTTATGGTTCTTATATCCTTCAGGGTCAGAGGGGCCTGGAGCGATCAAAAGCGAGATGAAGGCGAGGATACAAGAAACGGATGCTGGACAAAATCCATCGCGGCCTGTCACAATATATAATGTAGCTTCAAAGTAGGATTTGTGGCTCTTACAGTGGATCATGGTCGGATGTGCGACATTTATGTGAGGTGATGTCTCTTAAGTCAGACTGGCGATACACCTGCCACCAAGAGACAGAACAGTTCCTGCAATTATTATCTACAGTTTGTATTCTATGATGAATATTAAAAAGTCCTTTTCACAAGAAAATGTCTTCACTGTGAAAGCAGAGGTGAGGTATTGAAATGCAAAGATGACATTTCAAAAAGTACGGACAGGTTTTTTTGTTTTTTTTTAATGAAGACAAGCAGGAAAAGGCTTCAGCTTTTTTATGTCTGTTCTCTCCAGGGGTATAAAACTGTAGAATTATATCTTTTTTGACAGTGTTTTACAAATATACATAATACAAAGTATTTTCTAGCCTTTCAGATTTAAGGCTTTTAAACACACAACAGATATCTGTATTATCTGTTAGTCTAATATAATAGTCTGGCAACAAGCTGCATTTTGTATGTCTTTGAAGAGTTTCTTAGATGTAGAAATGCTATATATGCTCACTCTAGGTTATTATTATAATACATTTTTAAAGATGCAGACGAGCAGAGGAGAAAATAATTGCAAACATCTGCAACCGAGATCAAAACCATCCTATAAAAGCAACTCACTTCAGAAACAAACAAAAGAAAAAAATAAGGAAGGAGGACACAAACAACATCAGGATGACAAGCCGAGATAGAAGTGACATGGAAAAATAGATTACAGCAGAGCACAACATGGTGACAAATGCTTACATAAGTGATAAATGACATGGCAAATTAAACAGATTTAATTAAACGTGGTTGATGAGTGGAAGTGAGAGTGGGAGGGAGCATGTGTGTGTGCTGAACTTTAACAGAGGGCACTTGAATCACAATTGATCTATGGGATGCCTTTATTTTTGAATGACCTTTAAGGTGTCATTTCAGATTTACTGCTGTTAATGGTTCCCACTACACACGCAATCTGAGATGTATTGCTGAAAAACTGCAAACATATTCAGTCAACTTTACCCAGCTTGAAGAAATGATTAGTCATAATGTGGTTTTAAGGCCTGTTACACGTGTGAATGGAAATGTCAAAAAGCTGGGTCAAACCTGAACCCTTTCGGTTAAAAAATGATCCCCTGAAAGGTTTTCTTCTCTTTTTCACCATCAGACATCAGTGTAGCGCTCTGGTGAGTGAGTCAGAGATGAAGCATTTACTCTTGCTCGACTCCACATATCCACTAGTCTCAGGAAATCAATTTCTCCAAATGACTTTTGTTCTTTGTTGAGCCGAAAAATTTATAATATTGAGACGTTAAGTTTTAACACTTAAAAAAAAAAAAAAAAAGGTTTTGGGGGTATTTCATGCTTTTAAAGGATAGACATTTTTTTGGATGCCCACATGTAC